CTATGAAAAAGCCCCTTGATGACACAACAAAAGTCTTCCACCTTGCAAGGGGTTTGGGAGGTAAGTACAAAGATTTCAGAATTGCTATGCTTTCTAAAGCCCCTTATCCATCTTACAATCAGTTCGTGCTAGCACTAAAGAACCATGAACTACAATTTACTGCTAAAGTTGAAGAAGAAAAATCACATTCTATGGACCACAATCAAGCCTACTTTGGACAAAGAGGAAGAGGCCGTGGGAGGGGAAGAAATTACAACAAAAGAAGAAGAGTAGATCCAAGTGGACAAACTCAAATACAACATCAAAACATACAGTCTCCTACCCAACACAATTCAAGAAGCTTTAATAGCTTAAATTCTAACCAAAAAGAAAGAATACAGTGTCAGATATGTGGGAAATTCAACCATACAGCCCTTAAATGTTGGAATAGATTTGACCATTCATATCAGACTGAAGAAGTACCTAGAGCTCTAGCTGCCTTAAGCATGAATGAAGTGACTGAGTCTACTCTGTTTGCAGACTATGGAGCAACATCTAACATAGTTAATRACTCAGGTATGGTCTCTCACATCAAACCTTCCACAGGTATGGATAAATTGTATGTAGGTGATGGAAAAGGTTTGAATATCTCACACACTGGTTCATGTCTTGTTAACACTGATTTTTCCAAACTTAAGCTTGAAGATGTTCTTGTTGTTCCTGAAATAAAGAAGAATTTAATGTCCATTAGCAAGCTTACCTTGGATAATGATTGTCTAATTACTTTTGATGCTAATGGTTTTGTTATTAAGGACAAGCAGTGACAAATCTTGGGTAAAGGACGTAAACAAGAAGAACTGTATGCTTTGAATGAGCAAAATCAGCAAGCTCATCTGCTGAAACAAGTTCAAATAAAGCCAATTACTCCATTTTGGCACAAATGCATGGGGCACCTCAATGATCAAGCCTTGAGGCATCTTTTTGATTCTCATCTCTTAAACATTTCTAGTTGGGATAAGATTAAAACTATTTGTGACTATTGTCAAATGAGCAAAAGTTGTAAACTTTCATTCAAGCAAAATAATCATATCAGTAGTTATCCTCTTTATAAAGTTCATTGTGATCTGTGGGGACCTTCTCCTATTGTTTCTTGTCAAAATTTCAAATACTATGTTAGTTTTATTGATGATTTTTTCAGGTTTTGTTGGATTTATCCATTAAGGAAGAAGTGTGACTTCTTCTCATGTTTTCTCAAGTACCAACAACTAGTGGAAAATCAATTTGAGAGAAAGATAAAGGTCTTTCAAAGTGATGGAGGATGTGAGTTTACATCTTCAGCTCTCAAAAGTTGGTTTGAACAAAAAGGTATTTCATCAACTTTCTTGTCCTCACACTCCACAATAAAATGAAGTTGTTGAGAGAAAACATAGGCATATAGTAGAAACGGGCTAACCTTYTATTTCAATCTAAAGTACCTACAAAATATTGGGTAGATGCCTTTCTTACCGCCATTTTCTTGATAAATCGCATGCCATCAAAGTCTCTTTCTATGAAATCTCCTTTTTCTAAGCTCTTTAATAGGGAACCTGACTATAGTGGCATAAAGATTTTTGGTTGCAAGTGTTTTCCATATCTTAGAAACTACACAAAGAATAAACTTTGCAAAAGAACTTATCCGTGTGTATTTATTGGATATAGCCCCATTCAGAAGGGATATTGATGCTTAGATCCTATGTCGAACAAGGTATATATATCAAGGCATGTGGTATTTGATGAAAACATTTTTCCCTTTGAAATAACAAATATTAATAATTGTGAAAACACAGATCCTCATGTTGTTACACAATTTTCAAGACTTGAGGAATGGAACAACCCTGCAGAAGAACACTACAATAATGCCAAAAAGACTATTGAAAGTAAAAATACTGCCGCAGAGGAAAAATCTCCAATCAAAAAAATTTCTTTGGAAGAGACTAGTGAAGTCTATTCAAATCAACAAGAAAACTACACATTAGAAACTTCACAAGACTACAAACCAGAAAATTCACAAGGCAGTACACAAAAAAGTCAATCAAGTAATGAAATCCAGCCTAAATGTCCAAGTCTACTGCATGAACCTCAAACAGAAGGGGACAACTTGTTGCAAATGGCTACAAACTTCCAATCTGACAAAAATTTACAGCTGCTCGACTCACATCATGTATCAACACTTCCTAATATAAGTAACAACCTTTATATTGACCTACCTTATTATTTTGCAGGTACACCTAATCTCAACTCGATCATTGGATCGTCTGGAGAAAATTATGTTGAAAATACAAACACTCATCCGATGATAATCAGAAGAAAATTGAAGAATAATCCGCTCCTCAACTCCAACCAACATTAGGAAACACAAAGGCAGAAAGACAYCAATCACCACCAACAYGCTCTCATAAGCTCAAATCAAGATGTAGAACCAAAACACTATAAGACAGCCCTAAAAATTCCTCATTGGAAGGCTGCTATGGAGGAAGAAATGCAGGCACTTCAAGAAAACAATACTTGGAATTTGGTACCTTCGCCACCGCACATCAATATAGTTGGATCAAAGTGGATATTCAAAACTAAACTAAAGGAAGATGGAACCATTGAACGTTACAAGGCAAGATTAGTCACTCAAGGATACTCTCAGATAGAAGGAGTGGACTACGAAGAAAMTTTTAGTCCTGTATCAAGCCAACAACAATTCGGCTCATCCTTGYATTGGCAGTGACCTTCAACTGGCCCTTGCGACAACTAGATGTCAAAAATGCATTTCTCCATTGCTTTCTCAAGGAAGAAGTCTACATGTCTTAACCACTTGGATTTCAAGATCTAGAAAAACCACACTTCATATGCAAGCTCAACCGATCCTTATATGGTCTGAAATAGGCACCCAGGACCTGGTTTGAGAGATTATCTCAATTCCTCCTTCACATTGGCTTTATCTGCTCGCACTCTAATCTCTCTCTTTTTATTTATAGAGATTACAATGTACTCACTCTCATACTTGTGTATGTGGTTGATATAATTATGACAGGGTCAAGCTCAAAACATGTTGAAGAACTCATGTCACATCTAGGATCCGAATTTTCTCTAAAGGACCTTGGCCCCTTACACTATTTCCTTGGCATAGAGATACATTTCTCAAATCATTTCTAAAATCTTTCTTTCTAACAACATTTCTTAAAATTCTAAAATCAAATTTATGAAATCTCTTCCTAAATATAATTTCATAGATTTCTCAATCATTTCTCTRTAATCATAAAACATGTCTCTAAATCATAACACATTTCTAAAATTATCAAAGGAACACATTTACTTTCATTSTAAATCATACATGATATATAATTTCTTGGAATTCTATAATAATTGATATCTTAAAAACATTTCGTAAAATATACCACTCACAAATCCAATAATAGTATCCAAAACGTTTAATAAAGTAACCACTCAYAAATTCTTCAAACTGAGTTTTTCTCTGCTCCAATTTCTGCCTGACGTGAAATATCGATCCACTACCAAATTAATTCATGTTTTAATCCAATATAATTTCAACATACTCTTATTTCCAATATAAATAACATTTTTTTCAAATTATCCCATAAATCCAATTTTATATCTCATTCTCTCTCTTCATTAAAAACCACTTTTATTCTCTCTCATAATACTTACAAGTGGGATCCATCATAATACTTACAAGTGGGATCCATCATTTACCAATCAATTTCTCTTTCTCTCAATTCATCACACACATTCTCTCTTTTTTTTTTACTCAATTTATTTTTCTTTTCCCATTTAAATTTGACCCCAAATTTCTTTCTCTCTCTTCCAACATTACACCTTCATTTTCTTCTTCTTCATACAAACCCACGAATTTTCTCTCCCTCCCTACCCTTTCTTCTTCCTTCCTCCTCTCTGTTTTCTTTCTTTTTCTCAACCAAAATTCCCTTGAATATGGTTTCTGTTTCGTATAATTTTTCCTCTCTTTCTTTCCGCAGCCCCACACTTTTTAATTGCCAACTTATTTCCTTTTTATAGAATTTCCATTGCTCTACTAAACTAATAAATCAACAACCAATTTTCAGTCTCACCCTTGTACAAGCGAAAACCATTTCTTGAGTACCCAGAAACTCACAAAATTTCAATATTTATTTCTTTAGAAAACTTTTAACCACACTTCCTAAGAGTTCTATTTCTCATAATTTGTCTAATTTTATCCTCAAAACAAACTTTCCCAACTCAGTTTATAGAGTTCTGATTCAAGCTTCTTGACCTTATTTACCCCACTCCTTCTCTTCAAGCTTCAATTTCTTTCTCTTCTCCTCTGTTTCGAAAACCCTCTACCATTTATTTTCCTTTCTTCCCTTTTTCTTTTCTTTTSTTTCCTTCTTTCTTTTCTTTTCTTTCTTTATCTAGCCATCTGTTTTATATGAGTCCCAAAATAAAAATTTCTTTTTTTTTCCTATTTCCTCGATGGTAAAAGACCATTATGCCCTCATTAATTTCAGCAATTCCAAATTTCTTTTTTCTGTATCCCTCCTCTCTACTCGAGCGTCACATGAATGAACCTATACCATATCCGAATGAGAGGGATCCTGARATCATAGAAGCATGGTTAAGAAAGCTTAAAAGAAATGATAGTTACTACCTATACTAACAAGGTGCATCTTCCTTTTCGATAACTCAATCGTAAGAAYTTCAAAGTTAAGCGTGCTTGACTTGGAATAACCTTCTAAAAGCATGAGGAACAACTTAGGAGAGTGTTGACAACTGTAAGAGTGAATAAGTTATATGCTGAATTCTCTAAATGTGAGTTTTGACTATCGCAGGTGTCCTTCTTAAGACACGTGGTGTCAAAAGATGGAGTCTCAGTAGATCCAACAAAGGTCGAAGCAGTGATCAATTGACCTCTTCCATCTACTGTCAATGAGGTACGTAGTTTTTTGGGATCGGGAGTTTATTACCATCGATTTGTGCAAGAATTTTCCAGCATAGCCATGCCCCTAACTCAATTAACTCGGAAGGGCAACTCGTTTGTTTGGAGTGGAGCTTGCGAGTTTAGTTACCCAGAACTCAAGCAAAGACTAGTTTCAGCACCAGTGCTTACTGTGACAAACAAAACAGGATATTACATTATTTGTAGTGATGCTTCTAAGAACGGGCTAGGTTGTGTTTTGATGCAATGGGGTAAAGTTATTACTTATGCATCTTGTTAGTTGAAGAAATGTATCTCTATGCCAAGGAAATAGTGTAAGGGGAAAAAATTAAAATCTTTACGGACTATAAGAGATTAAAGTACTTTTTTCACTCATAAGGAGTTAAATATGAGATAACAACGGTGACTTGAGTTAGTGAAAGATTATGACTGTGAGATTTTGTACCATCCAGGTAGAGCAAATGTAGTTGCATATGCCTTAAGCAGGAAGACTGCCCATACATCAGCCTTGATCATCACCTTGACTCATATTCTTAGTGATTTGGAATGTGCAGATATAGTAGCTGTAGTGGGTGATGTTACTGCACAGTTGGTGTTGTTGTTAGTTAAGCCAACCTTGAGACAAATAATTATTGACGCTCAGCAAGAAGATCCAAACCTTGTTAATAATTTACATCAAGTGGAGTCAAGGCAAATGAATGAGTTCTCTATATCCTCAAACTTTTGGCTTTTATATTAAGGGTGCCTGGGTGTACCTAAGATGTCGACCTCAAGAATGAGTTATTGACTGAAGCCCACATTTCCCCATTCTCGATACATCCTAGCAATACAAAGATGTATCAARACTTAAACCAGTACTATTGGTGGATAACATGAAGAAAGATATAGCAGACTTTGTAAGTAAGTGTCTGGTTTGTCAGCAGGTGAAGGCGTCGAGACAGAAACTGGCAGGTTTGTTGCAACAATTGAGTGTGCCTGAGTGGAAAGGGAACACATATCTATGAATTTCATTATAGGATTGCCTATAACAGCTAAAGGCTACACCATAATATGGGTCATTGTTGATAGATTCACCAAGTCGGTGTATTTCCATGTTGGAAAAGTCTACTTACTCCGTAGAAATGTGGGCACAGTTGTATCTAGAGGAAATAGTGAGACTTCATGGGGTGCCAGTTTCAATTGTCTTTGCATTGTGCAGGTCGAAGAGCATATCATCTTCTTYAACAATCGTGCTGACAATACATGCAAGTATATACGAAATTACGATYGTAGTACAAAATGAAGTCGAATCCACAAGRACTTTTGATTATATTCTAAACGATGTTCGCAAATACCAAAAGTGTAAAAACAAAGAAATATAGGTGTTGTGTCTTAAATAAAAAAATATAATAAACAAAGTAGTAAAAATCTCAATAGTAGACACACTTCACAGAGCTGATAACAGGAAGAAGAAACAGCACATAACACGTAAATTGAGAGTTAACAKATATCGAAAAGTGAGGGAGATTCAACGCATTCACAGACTTCTCGGCCTACCGTCTACCTTACAAACATTTATTAATGCCCAACTCGACTTCGTTCCCTCCCAAGACACCCAAACATAGAAACYCACAACTGTCGTTTCTATGTTTCCAAGCAATAAAGACAAGTTCTAGGTATGATTATGGGACCCCATTCCTGAGCATCCACAAAATACTATAGAAAAGTACTAATCACAAATGAAGCAAGTCGACAAATTGTAGACCCTTCCGGATCACTACAAAAGGTAGCATACAGARCAAAGCGGCCAACAGTGTTCAATAAGATATAAGAAATAAACACAACTTCATTTAAAAATAAATGGAGTAGCTAAAGGGTTGATCGTTCATCAGTTACAACGTATGAATCTNATGTCCAAGCCCAAAAGATAAGAAATCCATCCCCCTTTAAAACAAGACCCACCACACGGAGTCCGGTAAATATTAATTTAATTGGAGTTTAGAGCCCGATAAATATAGATAAATTTAATTAACAATTAATTAAAAAATTAAATGAAAAATCTCCTGATTCGAGACTAACTAACCTGAGGGACTCGGGGCGTTACACAATAGGTGATCACGTATTTCTCAAGGTAACTCCTATCAAAGGAGTTTTGAGGTTTGGAAGGAAAGGGAAATTTAATCAACGTTTTGTCAGACCATTTAAAGTCTTAGAGAGGATTGGCCCTGTAGCTTATCGACTGGCTTTACCGCTTCTCTCTCTACAGTCCACAATGTGTTTCATGTGTCCATGCTACAAAAGTAAATGGTAGATCCATCTCACATCATCGACTACGAGCCATTGTGTCAAAGTGAGAACCTTAGCTATGAAGAAAAGTACTAATCACAAATGAAGCAAGTTGACAAATTGTAGACCCTTCCGAATCACTACAAAAGGTAGCATACAGAACAAAGCGGCCAACAATGTTCAATAAGATATAAGAAATAAACACAACTTCATTTAAAAATAAATGGAGTAGCTAAAGGGTTGATCGTTCATCAGTTACAACGTATGAATCTCCCCCAAAATGGGGTTTAGCTCATGAATAAAGAAGGAAATACAATGGGTAAAAGAAGAAGACAACATATCTCAAGGAAATAGCAGAAAAACCAAAGAAGAAGATGACAACTCGATATAGTAGTGGAATATCCCTTATGTYGTCAACTTTCTACCCTCGAAAATGGAGAGAATCCTCCTCCTTRTCGTTTCARCTCTAAAAAACGTGCTTCTATTGGGATTTGTGTGTGGCAGCTAGGGTTAAATGTCCTTTTATATYGGGTTCTGTTTTTAGGGAACCCAGTTGAAATTTGTACGGACACGGTAAATCCTGTGTCTATGCTGTTATTGCGTAGTGAATCCATGCTCCAGCTCTGCTTCGCTCCAGCTTTCATCTGCTCCGTCTTGAAAATGCTTTGCTCACTCTTCTCTGAATTTGGCACTCTCTTTATGCTTAGTCTTCTGCTTCCAGACCTGTACATTRACACCAGAAATAAGAGCATTTAGTGCAATATTTAGTCAAAACATTCAAGACCTGGGACTTTTAGCTCGGATTCTATTGTATAATCTTATTTAAGCTATTTAAGAGCTAATAGCGACACACTTTGACAATTATTTGCATAAAAACAACCAAATAAATACTAGAATAACTCTCTTTTGGAGAGTGAGTTATCAGGTGCCATTTTCAATTGTCTCAAATAGAGACCTWAGTTTCACATCCAATATTTGGGAAAGTTTTCTAAAAGCTTTAGGTACTCGGYTGGAACTCAGTACATCCTTTCATCCACAGACGGATGGTCAAGTTGAGAGGCTGAACCAAACCTTAGAAGATATGTTGCGAGTTTGTGTGTTGGAYTTTGCCGAAAACTGGGACACTCATTTGCATATGATGGAGTTTGCTTATAACAATAGTTATCAAGCAACTATAGGCATGACACCATTTGAAGCTCTTTATAGAAAGAACTATAGGTCTTTTGTATATTGGGATCGGGTAGGTGAGCGTAAGTTGTTAGGACTAGAGTTKGTCCAAGTTGCAATCGAAGCCATTCAAAAGATTAGAGGGAGAATGCAAACAGCACAAAGTAGACAAAAAAGTTATGCTCATACAAGACGAAGAGACCTAGAGTTTTCAATAGGTGATCACGTATTTCTCAAGGTARCTCCTATCAAAGGAGTTTTGAGGTTTGGAAGGAAAGGGAAATTTAGTCAATGCTTTGTCAGACCATTTAAAGTCTTGGAGAGGATTGRCCCTATAGCTTATCGACTGGCTTTACCGCCTTCTCTCTCTACAGTCCACAATGTCTTTCTATGTCCATGCTACAGAAGTAAATGGTAGATCCATCTCACATCATCGACTACAAGCCATTGTGTCAAAGTGAGAACCTTAGCTRTGAAGAGAAGCCAAGCCGAATTCTTGCGAGAGAATTGAAGCCTCTTCGTAACACTGAGAAATATCTCTCGTTAAAGTTATTTAGCTGAATAACAATCATGAGGAAGCAACTTGGGAATGAGAGGATGAAATGAAGACTAAGTATCCATAACTTTTTCAAGACTAGCGACTTTCGAGGACGCAAGTTCTTAAGGTGGGGAGATTGTAACACCCCGTAATCTTATAAGAGATATTTTAGTAGTTTAAATTGCATGAATAAATAGATAACTTTTTTTTCTACTTCTTAATTTAGTTTTCTATTCGTGTTGATAGATGATCAAGGTGATGAACTTCCCACAAATAACATCAAATTTGCACTTGTTGGGATTCAACTTCATGTTATATATATCTTCTCCATATGTTGAATGCTTCATTGATGCCTGCCTTGTGTTGGCTTGCTTCCYTACTTTTCAGAAGCATGTTGTCCATGTACACCWCCAATATTTTGTGGCCTATCTATTTGGCAAACATCTTCTTCAACATCTTCTAATAAGTTGCCCCTGCTTTGTCCCGGCCGAAGAGTATCACCTTGTAGTAGTAGAGCCATTGGTCTGTTACGAAGGATATGTGCTCTTGGTCCAAGACATGCATCCTGATCTAGTTATAGCAGTAGTCTGTGTCCATGAACATGAACATCTTGTTTTTATCTCTGTAAACTTTATTTTAAYRTCTCTCTACATTAAGAATGACAAAAWWTTTTATAGAATCCGATCTTGCTCCAATGACAAAGAATGAATTTTCCACCAAGTCCCCATTATAATTTTCTTAAGTAATTAATTTATATTTTATTAATTGTTTTACTAAATTAAATATTAAATAGTTTTATTTTCTAAGTAATTAATGTATATTTTATTAATTGTTTTACTAAATTAAATATTAACTACTTTTTAAAAAAATTATTTATAGTAGTAAAAATAATTTTCAATAAAATAGATATAAATTTTATATATTTATTACGTTTTTATTTTTTAAATTCAAAAAGTAATTAAAATTAATTAATAAATTGGTAATTTTTGCGGTTATCTTTATTAGTTATGAAACACACTCTAAAGTTGCATCAAAACTCATTAATTAATGAAGATAGAAAATTTATGTATATATCTCAACTTTCCTTTAAATATATCTCAACTTTTTTATATCTAATTTTTTCT